GTTTGATGTTACGTACATTATTAACATTACAGAATCCACATATTCCTGCCAGTTTTAATATGTATTTTGTAATCAACAAGTGTGTAACCCCGGTCAAAGTTTGACACTTCTCGGGCCATTATCTCCGTAACCGTTCAACTTTGGACATAGGTGTTTTGGGTTATATCGGCATACTTTAACATAAGGAACACCCTCCCGAAGTTTGGCACATTCCTCCTGGGACACCCTGTATATATATCATATAATATCACATAAAGGTTATGCAGTATATAATTATATTAAGGTGGGCCATTATAGACTAAATGACTTCCAGAATAAATTTAACTTCATTGTGGCAGGCAGGAGTACAAGATTTAATCAGCCATAAGCTTGCTCATGCAACTGGACATAACGGCTTTCATATCATATCAAAGTTCCTGCTGTTTCATTTTGGGTCTACAAGAAGTCTTTCTCACTGAGGGAACAATAAAACAAAACCCCTTTCCACCTGTCACACTTCAGCACATCAGAAATGAACAGATTTTCATTTTTTCTTTTGTCACAGACCTTGACACAAAGGTAGGCTTCACCTGTCTGGTGAGGGAGGATGGACTGAGAAACAAGCAAGCCGAATTTATATAAGAAATTGTGTAATGTCTCTCCCTGGTTCCTCGGGTGAGGTGTTTAAGTTGCTAAAAAGTTTCTGTGAATTTTCACTCCTCAATGGCTGACAATAGTCCCAGCACCTTGTGTACCAGAACTCCTCAGGATGCAATTTTCTTCAGCCTGTTACATTCTCTCTCCTAGGCAGAAATACTTGTCTGAGCAATCTGTTATCAAACGCCAACAACCCTATCCTAATGTGAGCAAGGCAGAAGAGGGACCAAGATTTCACACCCACACAAAACAACAGATCAAACAAACTAGATAAGGAATACTCTCATGTTACTCTTTTGACATCACGGATGAGGCGGCCAGAACTGTCTCAAGATTGTCTGTTTTGGTATTAGTGACTGAAATTTCAGGCTCTGCTATGAGGAAAATAGATCCTCTTGATTAATTTTTGGATCATGTAACATTGTTTTCTAGTTTACTGTTGATAGCTCCTTGTCATGGAAGCATCATTATGATGGACTTATGGTTACATTAAGCAAAGCATGTTATGCTATTGTGTCTCATGAATCATTAAGGATGATTTACTATTCTTATTTTCATGCAGTTATGTCATATGGTATAATCATCTGGGGGAATTCCCCTTATAGTATCAATATATTTAACTACAAAAAAAGGTCATAAGAATTATCACAAATTCCAGAAATAGGGATTCCTGTAGGGAGCTGTTTAAGAAACTAGATATATTACTGTTTTATTCTTAGTATATATATTTTCATTGCTAATTTTTGTACGAGGGGAAGTCAATAATTATCTGCATTGCAGTTGTATTTGTGTTTCTGTTGGGAGCACTGTCGTTTTGCACAGCATTGCCATGCATGGTGTCTACGAATGGATTGAAAAATTAAAAAATGGTCGCACAAGTGTTACGCGTGAGGAAGGAGCCGGACGACCATCCACGGCCACAGATGAGGACAACATTGAGCATGCACAAGACATGGTTCTGTTAGACAGATGAGTGACTACTGATAAAGTGGAAAATCATCTGCAAATTAGTCATGGTTCTGCCTACGAAATCATCCACAAGAGACTTGGGTTTCATAAAGTCTGTGCAAGATGGGTCCCAAAACAACTCACAGTGTTGCATAAACAAACATTCTTGGACATCTGCCAACAACATATGGATCACTGTGGTAACAAATGTGACATCTTCTTAGACAGAATCATCACTGGTGACGAAATATGGATCCACCATTGCGAGCCGGAGAGTAAACGGCAGAGTATGGAATGGAAACATCCACAATCGCCCAGCAAGAAAAAGTTCAAAAGCCAACCATCCATAGGAAAACTGATGCTTACAGTTTTTTGGGACTCACAAGGCCCAGTACTGACCATTATCAGGAGAGAGGCACAACAATAAACAGTACTCCTTACAGTGAGATGCTTACTGACAGGCTAAAGCCTGCAATTCGAAGCAAACGCCGAGGACTACTGTCGAAAGGTGTTGTGCTGTTGCACGACAATGCCCGTCCACATACTGCTCCCCACACTGCTGAAACCCTCCAAAAACTCAAGTTTGATGTAATGGCTCATCCTCCGTATAGTCCTGATATCGCCCCTTCTGACTACCACTTGTTTGGTCCACTCAAAGAGGCATTAAGGGGCCGTTGATTAACCTCGGACAAAGAAGTGAAGGAAGCGGTGCATGCGTGGCTCGCTGCTCAGCCGAAAACCTTCTTTTCTGAGGGCATCAGGAAGCTTGTGCAACGATGGACCAAGTGCGTTGAAAAGCAAGGGGACTATGTTGAAAAATGATGTTAATGTATGTTTTATATTTCTATTGAAATAAAATTTATAGCTACATTGCGGATAATTATTGACTTACCAATGTAATCGATAATATATCCTTATTTAAAACAAATTCAGAGTCATATGATATCAACACCAGAGGTAAAAATAATTTTTACCCTTCACAACCAAGGTTGTCTATCTATGAAAATGGTGTTTATTAGATAGGTAATGTTAAATATAAGATGTTATGTTTAATGTTAAAGTAGGAAGATAAACAGTAAGGTTTATTGTTTGATCTGACCTATGCTTTTTTTCATAGCATGTGTATTTTAGTTCCTTGTCTGTGACTGGTTCTATATCCTCCAGGTGTATTTGTAGCCTTGATTGGATCGATGGAATCTTACAATGGAATAATAATAATATGGAAAGGCAGGATGATTGTGAGTTAGGAGGAAGTGGTCATGGTCTGTTTTACAGGACTTCAACAGCCCCTAGGGAATTTTCCTGTACAGTGGAAAACTGATATTTAGTGCCTGTGGACCAGTTTGGTCTCTTCATTTTAAATGATGGCACACTGAATTATAATGACTGTAATTTTGAACATTCTTGAAAATGTTGAGAATTTTCTTTCTTTGCTTTTGTATTTTATTTATTTATTTTTTGCTTACTCTGTCCTGAACAGAACATTATAGCAAGTGCACATGAAAGATGTCTGACTTCATATGGCCTGTGAAAAATGGAATTTCGCAAATTTTTTATTTTGACTATGTTACCTGTAATTTCAAATGAATGAGAGGATGCAGAAAGTGACAAGTTTTATTGCACTAAAAACCTGATTATTTGTGATTAATGGCAGGAAAGGTTAGAAAGGTAAAAATTTCCCCATGCTTGAACAGGACACCTCGAAGATAAACACAGGACATTTGAACAGAGGTCCCAATCACACTTTCTAGGCGTCAGTGCCAAATGTATACAGGTAAGTGACCATCTTCAAGTTCCAGCTAATTTAGGCCTAACGCTGGGGTAAGAGAGACGCAATGAATAGGAGGCTGGGCTGCGTCTAGAATGGTATGTACACGCTGGTGATGAAATGAATTTCTATGGGAATGTATTTCCAATTTTCCAACATGTAGCCACATTTAATAGTTTAATATGATACTCGAAATTTAGGGAAGTACATCTGTTTTACAAGAACCTCTGTGCTTGTGTACAGTGCGATACTGAGATGTTCATGGATTTTTTTTCATGAACAGTCTCACAAACTCGGATTTGACCTAATTGTGAGCATATAAAAGTCTAACACTTCATAATCCATAGTTGTCAAGGTTAGCAAGTTCATCCAATGGATACCAGGGGCTCTATCCCCCAGGAGGTAAAGCGACAGGAGAGTGAAGCTGACCACTCACTTTTAACTAGTGCTGAGGTGGGTCTATATATCCACTTCCAAATATGTCATCATGGCTTATTGTTAATTAGATAAGCACAGGGACAACTTTAAGTAAGTATAGGTATCCTTGTAACAGGCCATGGAGGCCCATAGGGTTGTGAGATGTTGAGGTTCCCACATTTTGCAGATAATCGGCTCATAAATGGCAGTAAGTTTGTCAGCCTTACGAGCCATCTGCCCTTTACCCCCAAGAATATTCCTGGTACTCATTTCTGTTAGAGGCTGAGTCGACCCCAGGGCCATAATGCAGCTGGAAGGATTAGGTCAACTGAAAAAATCCATGACCTCATTGGGACTTGAACCCGTGACCTTCCAGCTTGTAGCATAGTGCCTCAACCAACTCCACTACTGTGTGACTTTACCTTACATAATACTGAGAGGTAGCTGGTATAATAGCATTGTTCTGAATGTTCATGCCCCAGCAGAGGATAAACCTGATGACGTGAAGCACAGCTTTTACAAAGAGCTAGAACATGTTAGGTGATAAATTCCTTAAATACCATATGGAAATTTTGTTGGGAGATTTAAATGCAAAAGTATGTAGGGAAGACATTTTCAAACCAACAATTGGAAGTGAGAGTTTACATGAAATTAATAATGAGTACTAAACTTTGTCACATCCAAAAATCTGACTGTCAAAAGTATGATGATCGCACATTGTAACATTCATAAATTTACTTGACCATCTACTGATGGAAAGAATTGCGATCAAATTGACCATATTTTGGTATACAGAGACCGCATTCAATGGTACTTGATGGCCGACTGTTCAAGGCAACAAAGTGTGATACTGACCACTACCTGGTGGTGGAAAAAGTTGGGGGGAGACTGGCAGTGAGTAAACAAATAATACACAGATATTGTATGGAGAGGTTCAATTTCAAGAGATTAAACAAGGTAGAGGGTAAAGAGTAGTACTGTGTTGAAATCTCAAATAGGTTCGCAGCTTAGGAAACCTTTAGAGAGAATGTACAAATTTCAGCCAAAGAGAGCCTTGTTTTATACTATAACTTTTGTTTTATATAACTAATTTATTGTATTTTTATGTCAAGTATTTTACATAATTAATAATACTGTATCCAATTTTACTAGTACTGTGGTTCAGTGGTGTATATATGTTAATCATGTATTTGCCTGATGATGGTTATTAATAGCCGAAACATATAGCAGAGCCAAATATAGTTGTGTTGTGACAGTTGTAATAAAGAACTTGTAAACAATTCTGNGGAAACATATAGCAGAGCCAAAACTAGGCACAGGTCTTGATATTAGTTGTGTTGTGACAGTTGTAATAAAGAACTTGTAAACAATTCTGTTGTTTTCTGTGCAGCAAAGGAATAAATAAAGGAATAACCTGAATCATCAACTTGTTCTGCTGTTGCCTGCCATGTCATCTCTCAAACCTCTTTTGCTTCTTTATATATTCAATGAAGTAAATCACAAACTTTGATCATCTCTCATTTTAGCTTCCAATAGCTAAAAAATACTTGTCTAAGAGAGGCACATTTCATGTTATACAATATACATCATATGACAGTAGTGGAAGTTACAAGTGGGCAGGTAATACAGGAAATAAATTCATCAGTCTCATAAGATACTTGCTGTATATCTTGTATGTCATACATCATCTGTCTTATTATCTTGGTGGGCAACTTGCCTGATGTTACCTATATTACACTCCAGCAGTAAGTAAAGCAAATGACTATTTTACCTGTGATTGGCTTCCATGGCTTTGTGGGTTCAGGAGGACGCCTGCTGGACATCCATGGGGTGGTTGGATGTGGCTGAGGAAAGGCCCCTGCACCAGCATTTGGTTGATTTCCAAAACATGTCCCTAGAGTAAATACACTTTATGATGCCTTCACATTATATGCAAGAAAGTAGTTTCATAGATCACACTTCAGCCCACTTCAAACATGATTTATTCTGTTTGTGAAGTTACAGTTGTTTGTTCTTTGGCCTCCAGGTGTCTGATCATCCTGGCTTATGCCTGCCTGGCAAGGTTTATAGATGAATTTATACTTTGCTTTTAATGATAAGATAACAGAGGAAATCAAAACAACAGACTACTATTTAACATTGTTTCTACACTGCACCTTAAAAAAAGTACCGACTTCATTAGAGAATAGGAAAGGGAGAAACCCAAACTGAATCCAGTCAGTCCTAACTATGAGAACTTACACACAGAACGCCAGCATGTTGGCTCTAGATCAATAATATATAACATTTCTATAACTAAATGACGTTTAATATGACTGTCTATTAATCAAGTTGGGAAAATATATATGCCACTAAACCTACAATAAAGTTTAAAGATTGTGTCCTTTATTGTAAATCTTACAAGGAGTTTGATACTACCAACCATGAAGATTCCCTTCTTACTCTCCGCTATTCAAAAAGTCTGCAACATGAAAGTAACAGGACATGGAGTTCAAAAGTTAATCAGCAACAAGTTAAGTTGATATACCTAGCCACTCATTCACAGAGGACAAGTGCTTCATCTCCTGATGTACCATCTTTGTAATTCTAAAAGAACAGGTAACAAGTGGGAAAATGTTTAAAAAAGGCATTATGTCACCACTGGTATTATTCACTTAAGTGACTTCTGAATGCAAGTAAAGTTGTTTCCAGTCCTAGATGTTGAAACCCCTAAGCATTAACTGATGAGAGGCTGAGTATGTCCTCATTTTATCCCCATACTTGCATTTCAATAATTTTCAAATTATGTTCATTTCTTATAGACCAGCAGGAAATCATGTCTGCATAAAGCAAATGATTGGACTTCTATTTCAATTATCTCAAGGACCAGTAATGATGCTAACACTTTATTTAACCATTTCCAGTCTAATGTTTTTGGTGTATTTTAAATGAGTTTGCATGTAATTTGGTACGTCACCATTCTGTGTAAGACATACAGTCAACTCTGGATTATCTGGGGGCGGATTAACCGGGGCTACTGAGGCTTTTTTGAGGCTTATATGTTGTTTAATATTCATTCACTTCTGTTTCACATGGCGAGTTATAACACTATTTTCACACTAGTGTGAACTGAGCTCTGCATTCTTTGGTCCTGTTATGCTAACACAATGTTCTAGGGTAAGGGTGAAAGAATGCAAGGATTTGTGGAAAGTTTCAAGGACAGATACATCACCCCAGTTAGTATCTTTGTATCGATCTTCAAGTGCGTTAGCAAAATGTCAGGGTGTAAAAGGAAGCGTGTTGTGTTAAGTATTCAACAGAAAAAGGAAAATGCCGCGAAAAAGTAAACGATAATATTAAATTTTTTTTAAGTGTTAATATTCATAAAAAGTGCTGGATGTTGTTGAAGACTGTGATTGAAATAACTAATTCATACTTCAGTGTAATGTAAAAAAAGTATTAAATAGGCCATGAGATGACATAAAAATGAGGTTGAATAAATTTAAATATAGGTAGGCCTATAGTATTATGAAGGTACAGTATTACAGTACTACTTTTAATAAAATTTGTCTTAACCAGGTTTTCGATTAATCGTGATTTCCATCCCCACCATTATCCCGGATAATCGAGAGTTGACTGTAGTTACCAATTTGTAGCACTGCCACGCATTTTATATTAAGATTTACTTACACTGCACTTAAGAATTTAATTGTGGAATCATTATTAGTCACATGATTTGATATGGCATTTATAACATATGTAACACAGGTAACTGCTAATCTGATACATGGAAATCTGATTCCATTAAGTTGATGATGATCAGCTCCACAACCTCATTTCACCCATAGAATTCTGTTCCAGCAAGCTACCCATCTGTCAGACACATTTTTTTCCTTATTGAAGCATCAATGCTCCCTATGGTCTTATAAGCCCCCAAATCCACATATTTAAAACTGTTATCTCAAGGCAATATATGAATCATTTGTGTCTGCATGAGTTTAATAGAACTGTAATCACAGTGACAATGCGGTAGTCTGTGACCGTAACTTCTTGTGATGTCAGCCTCTTCATAATTTTTATTATATGGCTTTCATGTTCTCTTCAACTGCAACAATTCAGCATGGGTCTGTGTTTGCTGTGCAGCCAATATACATCAGCCTTTCTGCTTATAATTGGAGGTTCCTCCAACACAGAGCAGAATGAAGGCTGGCATAATATGCAACTATGATATACCCTAGGGCAAAGTTATGGCAGGAATTGTTCTGAAAACCACTTCTCGAATAGCATGGTAATTATTTTCAAGTAGTAATCAGCATTATTTTTTTATTTTTATTGAAAAATTAATATATTGCCAGAACAGATCCTCCATCAGCTAATCCAGCATGGCATATTACGAACTTACACCTTTACCTGTGGGGATTTGTGGGCCACCTGACATATTATTCACCTTCCAGTAACTTCTGTGAGTGTGGAATTGATTTACCCACATTTATCTAAATACAACATATTTGCAACCCTTGCTTGTCTAATTTCACACACTTCCCCCACAGCTGCAACGTCACTGAATTCCATTAGCAACGGTCAGCTGCCATTGATTTCACAACCAACAGTATTGATCCCTCACTATCTTCCAGTCCACCAGCTTCATTCATTTTAATGGCCAACTTCTTAGCAGAAGGAAATTCTCCCCTTTCACAAGAAGCGAAAAATTTGCACTATGAAACACTTCTGTTAAAGTCAACCATATCGACCACTTATTCATTTTTTGCCAGTTTCTATCCAATGATTCAAAATGCACATATATTCTTGCATTAAGTAAAGGCTCTCCTTTGTTCACACTGCATTAAAGTCTTCAATCCATCATCAAAAGCACTGTCTCTATGTTCCTAACAGCTGGCAACACTGTGAACCAGGCAAAATCTTCTGTTTCCCACTTGAAATGGCCAAACATGTTAAGAACTGAATCTCTGGCTTGCTTATGTAAGATCCAGAACTTTTTGCTAGCATTCCATTTTTAAATTCACAATAAAATGTGATTAAAAATAAACACTCCACTAACAACTTCAAACAAACACATTAATTTCATGAATATAATTCCAGCTGCTACGGTAAGTTTCAGGAGTGCACCCCTATAGTAACTGAAGCTTATTGCCTCAGAGTGAGCACACGATAATTCTTTGCCACTGTACATACAAGGTGACCCATCAAGTTATTTCTAGGCTCACATAAGTCCACTACAAATTCATTTCGTGAAAATTCTTTAGTAAAAAAAAATCCATCTTGCAGATGGTCTATTTCAAACAGACTCATACTGATACATCATAAAAATTTTCACTGTAAAACATAAAGTGCTTAAAAAATCCCATGGAAGCTGGGAGATAGTAAGAGTAAGTACATATGAAGGCAAATATCATAGCACAGCTAAGTCCTGAGGCTGTCTCACACCTGAGCCAGTACAATTAAATGTCGTGTCAAGTGTAACTTGGCACTGGACCATAGAAGACCAAATCTCGTGCAAACGTGTTCTTCTGCTGAACAACATTTAGCATTTATTAAGTTGATATTTAAATCTATAAAACTTATTAAAATGTTCATATTCTAACATCAATCTTGTTCCAATCTACTGTCAAGTTCAAGTGATAAGGGGTTCATCCACAAGAAGGCAGATCTTAAAAAATATAAATACATTTCTGAGAACATTTCACAAAATCAAAAGCAGTTATCTGAGTAAGGTGACTTTATGGGATGTCAGAGGTTGCATGGTCTCAGTGACCAAGCCTAAAATTATTTTAATCCATGTTCTGGCATGATGAGGGAGAGTTGCAGAAGTAGGAGCATCTTGGCATGACCTAATTTGTGATCTTATGGAGAAACTGAAGTAAAAGATGAAAACAGTAATTAGAATAACTGCACTTTGGTGTTGAACTTCCTGATCTCTGTAATCATGTCTCTTCATTTATCAGTGGTTCATGTTGCCCTCTTCAGTGAATTAAAGTGCCTCAGTCAGTATTTTTGAAAATATTCTGTAAGCTCCCAACTAAATAAAACATGTAATAAAACATTATTATTTTATACTGAGATCAAAATTCATAACTACTGGTTTCTATGAAGTATTGTTTAGAGTAAATGATCAAACAAACCATTACCACTTTCAGCATAAAAATCAACATGACTTAGGAGCAAACCACACGACATTCAAGATGCAGAAATCAGTGGGGTGATTATGGAATTCAGTTTTCACAGACTTTAGGGCTATGACCAATATGGTGTCTCATAACAAAATACGTACACTGACAGCTACTGTATTCAGCATGATTCATGCCATCGACTGGAACGAAAAAGAGTGGAATAACTTATTACTAAAAAAAACCACTCTAAGGAAAGATACAGGATTCAGGAACACAAAATAACACAGCCTTGAAATGAATGACATCCTTGTGTTCAGAAAAGTTCTACATCCAAAATTTCAAGAGTATTATCCTTTCAGAATTAAATAAACAACATGTCTTGTGGTCACCCCTGCAGTAAATATTTAATTAAATCAGCATTTGCCTGCTTAATTCACAATTTTAATTTATAGTTTCTTAATGGTTTAACGATATTTATTCACACTCTGCCATTTTAACCAATTTAAGAATTTGTGAGATGTTGTAAAACAAACTGGTCTGCTGAGATATTTCATTATAGAACATGCACTTTCAGTAACTCCTCCATTTCAAACTCACTCACTCCATGTGCAGAGTTCTTCCTGATAGGCAGTAGTCACTCAGCCAGTGAACAAATTCCCCATATTTCGCTGAACCTGAAGGTTCATTGTCATGTTTGCCAGATACCACTGTGACGATTTACAACTTTTAAAACTGAAAGCACCTCATATTGTCATGTTTGCCTTTTCACACAGTGTATTTTTAAGTGATTTACTACCATGATGAAGGATTACTGATGCTGCATCACCTACCCAGCCCAATTTAAAAGATGATAACTGATTATTATACTATTTAACACACTATTTCAAATGCAAATTATGAAGTGTTGAATGAACTCAGATGGGAAAAAATCATAAAGTGTGAGTAGGTAAAGATTTTGACAGAGGTAATCTTAACCTATTTTCAAGTCACAATCCCAGCATTCAGCTACAGGGACTAGAAATCAACAACAAATCTCAGTAAAGACAGCCACTAACATAAAGTAAAGTAACTGAGATCAAAACCATGTACCTATTGTGTGCAAGTCTATGAAGTGCTACCAATACATAAACATGCTCAGTAATAGTGACAAACAGTTTTCTTTGCAATTTATTTAACAATGGTGTCAGTAACTCAGACAGCGTAGTGGCACAATACAGAAAATAATGAACTGGAAAGATATGGAAGTGGTAAAAGGTAAGGTCACCCCTACAATTAATTAAGCAACATACCATGGAGACGTATGGGGCAGCGGAAGTACAGCTCCATCATTCTTGACCTTGTCACCAGATGGAGGTAAGTAATAGCTTCACATCCCAGCCACTTTACCTCCAGGGAAAGAGCACCCAGTATCCACTGGATAGGCTGGTAGGTGGGCCCATCACTGGTCTGGATGTTGTGGAGTAGAAATATATATCTTGGCCCCACTGAGAATCGAACCCTAACCATCCAGCCCATAGCCTATCACTATACTGACTGAGCTACCTTGGTCCCTCAATTTTGAGGTGGTAGTGACCAAATTTAAGGTACTATATGGTTATTTATCTGGAGGGACTGAGGAAACTCATAACCCCAGCCAAAATTCAAATTAAGTAACTTCTGAACACAGGTCACAAGCATTACTCATATGAAAACTTGCCTGGTATTGATATGTAAAGGGTGAATATGATGGGATGAAAATCAGATTCCTCTAACACAAGTTCTGTTTCCTAACCAAAATATCATCACTGCACAAGACAGCAATTACAGTCATGACATGTTAGATCCTTAGGAATTACTTCTTGACTACAGATACATACCTTTCCTTGTGAGCTTCATGCCATAGTGCATTGGGTCTATGTTCCTCTGACAGTGGTCCCCTGCTTCTTTGATGTATATCTCATTGTTAGATATAATTGAGCCCACAAAGCACTCATATGTGCCAACATCACGACGGTGTGTGTATGTGTACATAAGTCCATCTTCCTCCCACTGCCCAAGACATCGATACTCCCGTTCTGTAACATCAGTGTCAAACATTCTTATAAAGCTAACACACATTAGAGGAACACAGAACCAACTCAATATTTAAACTTGGGCAGCCCTGCTATGGCAGATAATTTAGTCCATATCAGAGGATCACATTATAACAAACTCCCACAGTTGATGGGGGTTACCAGAATGAATCCACATTTTACAAACTTCTGCAATAGAGCAGGGCCCCATTTTTCAAGAATAACATAACTATAAGATGACACGTAAACTTAATGATGAACATCCAGTTCATCCTACGAAAGAGTTTCCCTTGAGTTACCTGTACTTTAATATTAAATTACATATTAGCACCTAAATTACTATTTTAAATCCAATTTATACATGCATAAAATTATGTTGGGACAATCAAGCAAGTCAATACTGGTGCAATTCACGTCTGAAGTTAATAGCTAAGTTAGAAGTTGTGGACAGGTGATTTCCTTGAGATATGCTGGATCATGGTTGAAATTTTCAGTGCATGAAAACTGGAAACATGTACAAATTAAACACAGGAAAAGTACCCTATATGAGATTCAAGTACAATATTATATTTTTCATTCACACACTTCCAACACTTTTTATAAAACTGTGTTCACTTACATAGGATTTGGTCCAAAATAAAACTGTACTGACAAAATGTTTGGAAAATAACTTTATGACATCTAGAAAACTATTCACTCTCACATAATGTGCCTAACAACACTTCATCAATAACAGTGATTTTGTAGTTGACTGCACTACCGAATGTACAATGGATGACTGTAACTGGTGAAGTGAAAGAGACATGCAAGAAATGAAGGTATTGTACTGCACAACCATTTCTTGTAGAGACTGAGAAAAACACATACAATGAGAGACTGGGCCTCTAGACATGTGAGGACTTCAATCCAGGCTTCCTGATTGGGTGCACTCCATTATGATACAATATGAACATTTACATGCACTTAATGCATTATATTAAAATTTAGGAATAAAAGAGAAGAGGAACACAGGATTGGGAGCTAAACCCAAGTTCTGCACTGGACTGTAACAGTTATCTCATGGATACTGTGGAAAGCATGATGAAACCTTAATAAAAAGATTATGGCTAATAACAAGAACTTCATTATAATGAGAAATAAAATATCCACACTGTCATTTTTTTATGGAATTATATAAAGAACTCGCATATGAGGGCATTTTGCAGTGCTTCCGTTATAACAAGATACCTCTAGGCAGCCACGACTCCTTACATGCAAATTTTTGCAGACTTAATTGTAGGTTTTCCCTGCAACCTATTTGCAGCTGACAATCTGTAAAGACACCATGAAACCATATTTTGCACCTCCCCCTTGTTTGGGAGGGGAAAGTCTGCATTACATAGTTTGAGAAATGTATGTCTGAATAGGGAATTTACATGACCCTGAGGCAGAAGTGCTTTGGATGCATGAAAGAGCTATTCTGTGATCAAAATAGAAATTGACTGACCAACGGGAGTGCAAGAGGTTATTGAATTGAATTTATTTACATTCTATAAATCCTAAGTAGGTTAGTACCTTTGGATACAGAACAAGTCAAAAGGTTACATACATAAGTACAGGCAATTTTAGCTTAAAAATTAATATAACTTAATTTTACATCATTCTCTATTTACATTGAAGTATTCATCTAAAGAGTAGAAGGAATGAGCATGTAGATAATTCTTTAACTCTGATTTAAACTTTTTAGTATCATTGCCCAAGTTTTTAATACTTTGTGGCAGATTGTTGAACACTTTTATGCCAGTAAAGGAGACTCCTTTTTGATATACTGATAAAGTTGATGAGGGTAGGTGGAAGTTATATTTTTGTCTAGTATTCATGAAAGCATGAGAAAAATTTTCTTGGTTCAGGTGCCAAAAAAGATGCCAAGAAGATTCAATTATTCTTCATTACTTTCATGTATTCATGATAACCACTTCAAACAACTTAGGTAATGTTCATATAATATAATAGTTCTGGCACATTACATCTGTCATTACCTGTAAACAGCATAAACTATAATTTGTTTGTCAAAGAGACCAAAAGACATAAAAGAAAAACCTATGGGGCATAAAACGTGAGATTCAATTTTATCTACAACTTTTGTTTGGACAGTTTTGACACACTTTAGTGAAACTTCTTAATATTAAATTTCATGAAATTCCACTTGGTGGTTCTCTACTTGTTACATGCACACAGACGGATGGACAAACAGATATGATGAAGCTAATCCACATGTTAGGGAAACTTTCAATTGTGAAGACACCAAAAAGAATAAACACTGACATATCTGCATATTCTAAAGATCAGTGCCATGCAGCAATACAAGCAATTAGAAGCTGGGATTGAGGATTATGTATTTTAATCATATCTGGATATTATGAGTAATTGTCATAACATTTATATTAATTTCATAAACTTTTGTTATACAGGGGTTGCAGTATTTTAATCTATGTTGGACATGAGGTTCTCATAGCAGTGACTATGAAAGTACCATCATTTGGAAAGTGATGTCATGTAGTGTGGCCTGAGTTCACCACAGTTTCAGAGAAATGTACTGCCTATATCTTAAGAGTCTATGCATAAGTTATGCATGATTCCTTCCTGTTTCTTTCTTCTGGCTTGACTTATTCTTTGAGCCTAAGATGGAAACAATACTTTCCTTTGAAATGTCAGTGCACTTCTACCAGACTACGCAGTGCCACATCCCAGAAGCCAGCACTCTTTATATTTTGCATTAAACAACTACCTGACTTCAAGGTGTCCTACACAAAAACAGGGTTTACCTAAAATATTGTTATAAATTCTAAACAAAATGACAAAGAAAATCTGAATATATAAATGGACAAATATGTATCCTCACACAGTAAGATATTTTATACTGTACATATAACACATTTTGTATGTGAAACTTCAATGCTTTGCCACCATATGTGGGTTGTCCTTTCACTGAATTATAATCTGTAAAAACTGAATTCTCTCAAGCACAGAAATACTTTCATTGATGGGCAATGCTTACAGCAAATCTCAGATTGCAGTGAATGGAGTTCGTTGTGCTGAGCTATGATCATTTCTCCACCTTAACTGTAAATAATTCTTTCTCTGCCTCATAGAAATTCTGCCAATGTTCCTCCTGCATGTTACTTCATAACCAAAATCCATATATTCTTGCACCCACATGAAGAAGTTCTTTCCGTATTCTTTGTTTATACTAAATCCCATATCTGGCAGATAAAGGGTCATGATAAATTAATACACACATATGAAGAAATAATTTTGCAGGTTCATGGCCAGAAGATAGAAAAAATTGCCCTAATTGCAGAGCTATGCTTATTGTTCTCTGTTATTTTGAGCAACAAGGTGGCACAACTAGTTCTGTGAGACTGAATTTGCATACCTAAACAGAGAATGACTGAGTGATCAGAAATTAAAACATTTCATTCATATTTACCTGTGCAAAAATGTGACCACAATTAATAAACCTATCAATATTGTCAGATGTATTACTACTATGTTAGTGTGTTGCTCTTACATGGGAAACCAGACAGGTTTTGAAATTGACTGGGGATTTGAAGGATGCAAGATATAGCTGGGAGCAGGGAAGGGTAGAAACCAAATACTGATATGAGGTTTGAATAAATGCCTCTCAGTTACTGACTGAAAGTGGTATTGTAGGGAATGAAACCGCAGATCAACTGGCAAGAACAGGATCTGAACAGCCATTCACAGGACCTGAACCAGCTTGTGGCATCTCAATGGGAGTTGCCAAGAAAGCGATCCGGGACTGGGCTAACATAAATCACAAAAAAAACACTGGTATTCCATAACTGGACTCAAACAGGCAAAAGGATTTATATCAGGACCNCAACTGGACTCAAAGGATTTATATCAGGACCCTCTGCCAAAATAACGAGGGACCTGTTAAAATTAAACAGAGATCGACTCAGATGGGTGGTAGGATTACTTATTGGACACCGCCACCTAAAAGGGCACCTTTCCAAACTGGGACTGACAGAGGACCCAACTTGTGAGAGGTGCCTACAAGAAGATGAATCAGCCACACACATCTTATGTGTGTGATTGTGAGGCTATAGCTTATTTAAGATATCACCACCTGGATCAATTCTTCATGGAATCAAGTGACTTTCATGATGCCCCCATAAACAAAGTCCTACATTTCATTCGAAGTGGTAGGGCCAGTTTTATGGCTCACCCCTCATACTCATACTGACTGAAAGACATGGACAAGATTAGTATCAATGTATGTTCACAATGTGTGTATGCTGAAGAGATTCAGAATGGAAGAATTCACACTGGCAACAATGATAAGCAAGTGGAAGAAAGTACACACCAATTAAATGAGATGTCTTGCTCTAATATTTCAAACACAGATGTAAGCTACCTATTTAAAAGTACTCAGGAGCTAAAAAAACACTATTGTGCATGCCTTCTTTGCATTCATGAGGTAAGTTACCCTTGGGCTTAAATAATCAAGCACTGTGCCATAGCTCCACAATTTTCAACCTCAACATTAGGTGAAGTCAGTGGCCAGCTTCATGCCCCTGCCACTTTACCCCAGGGAAACAGCCCTTGGTACCTATTGTATAGAAGGCTGTGTATGCACCAGAACTGCCTGGACATTACAGACAACAGAAAAATCTCTTTCCCATATTTAGTTCAAAACTTGAATGGTAGACCAATTATTCTGGCTGAGATATCACATTGTCATAATCAGTCCCTCCATAAAAATGCAGTCAGTATGTTAAACAGGTCATGATCACTTCCTCTCATTTCCTTTCTAGTTCATTTTTAAACATTTTGTTATTTTTCCACTTGATGCCAAAGAACTTCTGTATTTGGCACAACATAAATTAAGAAGCTATAACATTATACAGCAAAGGCAGTACATGCTGGAAGAACGGTGTACAGACATGACCCTATGTAAGCCTGGCATACTCTAAATTTGCTACTTACTTATAACCTTA